ACCAATCAGTAAGTCAGAAACCAATGGTCCTGCATGAGACCTGGTCTCATTCGACATCTCGAACAATGATCACCAATCGCAAAGAGGTCCTGTGACATCTTGCGATGCATGCGTATCAGTTGAGCAATCGACATCGAACAGCCGCAATCGAACAATAACATGCAAGGATAAGACTCAGCCGGCGCAGCCACCCCGGGATGCCAGATCCCAAACTGCTGTCGATCCGGGTGGTCGGGCAGGGAGTGATAGGGTACTGTGAGACCACCGGTGAGCAAAAGGCTGCAAGGAACGCGCGCAAAAATCATGAAAGCGAGTCTTGCAATCTCGATCCCTCGGCGAGATGGCGACGCACGTGCACGATGTGAGGTTGCGCTCCTTGTGCATGTCCCTCCAGGTTCTTGAACACATGCAATGAATAGCAGAACAATGGTGATGGATGTGAAGATACACAAACAATCCACCAACGTGTTCACCGCCTCCCGAAGGACCTTCGAACACCCTTGCAGCCAGCAACGGTTTGACAATGGTCGTCGTACAGTACCTCTGGTGGACGTTGTTCGCTCAAGCTCCGAAAAACAACACCAGAAACCATTCGCAAATGGTTTTTCTGTTTCCAGAAACCATTCGCGAATGGTTTTTCTGCTCCCAGAAACCACTCGCGAATGGTTTTTTTGCGCATTTGCGAATGGTCTTTCTGCTTCCAGAAACCATTCGCGAATAGTCTTTCTTCGCCCAGAAACCATTTGGGAAAGGTGTTTCTGGTCCCAGAAACCATTCACAAATGGTTTTTGGAAGCAGAAAAACCATTTGCGACTAGAAGCAGAAAAACCATTGGCGATGGGAGCAGAAAAACCATTTGCGAATGGTTTCTGGAACCATTCGCGAATGGTTTCTGGGCGCAGAACAATGGTTTTTTTTTCTGCTCCCAGAAACCATTCGCGAATGGTTTTTCTGCTCCCAGAAACCACTTCCAGAAACCATTCGCGAATGGTTTTTTTGAAACCATTCGCTCCCAGAAACCATTTCCGCTCCCCAATGGTGACAATCCAAGAAACTTCGTCACAAACCTCAATGCCACACGAAGAACAATCACAACCATGAGGAACAAGAGCATCACTGGCGCAATCCTTCGTGGGGCAATGAACGACTGTTCTATTTGACAACGCGTCCATGAACGTTGTGAAACCAATCTTCATGCAACGGTGCTTTACAGTCAATTGGAATCCGCAAAACACAATCATTGTGACAAGCAGAGACAACGAACCAAAAGGTTGGGGCGGAAGCACCTCACCATGACAATGTGGGGATTGCTTAAGCAGCACACCAGCATGAGGTTCAACTAGCCACACCAGATACCCAACAAACAGCAACTCCACATAAGATTCTATCCACGCTTGCATACAAAATGCCGAATCAAATCATCAATTTCGGACTCTTCGCAATACATGCTTCTTCCAAGGCCCACAACGACTGCAACAGTTGGAATCCTTCCTGCAATGAGGCTTGCACCGAGTCACCACTGTGCACAAAGAAGCTTTCACAATCGCATCAGTTACAGCTGCTCCAATCCTCTCATCAAGCAGTGAAGCGAATTCATTGCTGGAGGCAGCTGCAGTTCCTCATCTGCGATTGTGAGGTGTTCTGATGACTGTTGCGTGTGCAAGAGGAATCACTGTAGAAGTGATCCTGTGCAAGTACAGTCGACACTCATCTCCACCACCAATCACGGGTAGGAAATCAAAATAATTCAAACATTCGGTTTGTAGTTGCCGCCGAATGATTTCGTCTACAGTCTTGACGGATTTCATTGACTCTCGCTTCCCTTACAAGTAGCTCCATTCCGAATGAGAACCCAATTGAGTTCACGCACGCCTGTGGAAGTAGCACGAACAAAGAACGAACTGCGCTACAACGCATGTGGAAGTAGCAGAAACAAAGATATAGTAGTGTGCTCGGGTGCCGCCAGCTGCTCTCGCAGCAGCAAAGAAGCAACTAAGAAGCACTAGGAGGACTCTCGCTTCAACCGAAGCTGTGCCATCCATTGTTTTCGCGCTGCCATCGCTATCGCTGGGCAGAAATGTGAAATGTAATTGGATCTCGCCAACTTTCGAGATCCATCCTCTTTGCGCACCGATGTTTGCAAATCGACCCAGCGTGGACTCGAACCACCATAGTTTGCTTGTGCAAAGTCAAGACGACTTCTGACAGCAACGCCTTGTCCATTAGGCTACTGGGTCAGGTGCTTCACTTTTCCCTGAGAAGTTATACATACCTCGACGGAGGAAAATCAAAGGTGACAGCTGTGGGGTTCGAGCCCACGCCCTTGCGGACTGGCGCCTTGAGCCAGCGCCTTAGACCACTCGGCCAAACTGTCCTTGGATGCCAGAGGTCTATCTCTCACAAAGGTACTCCCTCCCAACATGGAAGCATTTTTGTCGACAAGATGCTGCCATGGCAAGTTTCACCTGTCGCTTGAAGATCATGGCCTTTCTTGACTTGCATTGACGATCGATTGCTTCGATGTGTTTCTGGCTTTGGTGACTTTTAACGTGTTCCCAGGTTAAGAGATATCGGTGGTCATTGCATCTTCGGCCCTGCCACCCCCGAACCGCGCATTAAAGCATCCAGGTTCTCGGTTTGCCGACCCCTTCCCCCCAAAGACAACCTTACAGCTCCCTCAATTGTCCCTTTGCAATCCTGCAATCCACCCCGGGACGCCAGATCCCAAACTGCTGTCTGCCCACGCTCGCACCACTCCCGAACTTGAGAATGCGAAAGCCTTCGCCATGAATAATAAACACGGGTAAAGAGCTCATAGGATCAGGCCTTCGACTTGACACACGGCAACCAAAAATATGGACACACTGGGGATTGAGCCCAGGGCCTTCCGCATGCGGAGCGGATGTGATACCACTACACCATGTGCCCCTTGTTGAGGACGGTGAAAAAGTATATCATAGTGAACTGGATAGAAGATCTTCAGACAACAGTGAAAGAAAAGAGTATGATCACCTTGCTAAAATTCACTCCCTGATTGTAAAACCAAACCCAAGCCCAAAACATTGCAGCGAAAGCAGATCCGAAAGCAGCCCTCAAGCGACAGCATTTCAAGAATGCTGACTGTTGGATTATCAACGAAGACAAGAATGCATTGGTCCGTTTCCATGTGAAACTCCGCCAGTACTTGATGGGATTCAGGTACCTCGCGGCCAAAGCGGTGTGCGCGTTGAACATCGCCTGTCAGCCCAAACAAAGCTCTCGGCAGTGTCATGAGCGCGGTGCGCAAGTCCTGACCCGCTTTGCCCCATCCTTTTTCCCAATCGCTCCCGCCCAACCTGTGCTTGCACCTCAGATGCATGCACTGCAGCCGACATGTAATGCAGTCGCCACACTTGCGATGTCGTACCTTTTCCTCAAACACTGCCGGGACTCAGGCCTTTCGCGCACGGGCAGCTCTGTGCCCGCCATCTCCAAAGCAAGAAAGAGGAGCTCACGGCCCTCATTCACCAACTACTCGCTGAAGGGACACTCCGCATTCCCTGCAGCAAGCTTCCTAGCTAGGCAGCGCATATCTACGCTGGTTTCCAAGCAGAACGGATGGCAGTGCGCCGTGACCCCAGAGTCCATCGTCAAGCTGACTCCCAATATGCGACTCGCTTCCCACGTCTTGTTGTTGCACGCCTTGCAATGCCATGTCGCTTTTGCCGCGTTGCTCCCGCGAAGGCAGCGCCAGAGAAGTGTAATCCATGCAGGTGCCATCGCGAACATAGCGATAGGCTGCTTTCCGCAACGAAGCCCGGCAACATGTAAGCCAAGCACGTGGTCCGACAGCTCCCGGAAAGCATCCACGCAGCGGTCGGGCAACCAAGACCGCGATAAGTGCTGTGTTTTCACCATTTCCCACGCGAAACTGTGCCGCATGCACAACTTGTCGGGAGTTGCTGGTGGGGTGGTCGTCGTGCGCCCCGGCTTGATGCGGAGAGTGAAGGTGGACGGATCGATCACCTCCATCGCGGCGTCCTCTAGACTCGTGACGTCACGAAGGTCCTGAGCCTTCTACTTGCTCCAGTTTCTGGGCCAAGAACGGGTTGCCGTAGAGCTTCTCCACTGCAAGCCTCATTGGTGCGTGCTCAGTGGAAGGCAAATTGAGTCTGCTAAGTAGCAATCCTTGATTTAGGATTTAGGCTGGGCCGGTAGGCTGCTGTGTCAAAATCATTCCGCATTGTGCCCTGCAGGGGTCGGAGGAGGAGCGCCAAAACCGTGCTGATGAACTTTCCAGAGGAAAGCTTCGAAGGGCAGCAAGCGCCGAATCAGGATCCGGCTGCAGATCCAGCGGTTCAGCTTGATGGTGGCTGAAGTTGCTGGGACAGAGAGCAACACTGACAGCGAGGCTTCAGATCACACAGCTGAAGAATTGGAATGGATGGAGCACGAGCGTCACGAGCTGCCAAGCTCAAGAAAAGGGAAGCAAATCCGAGGCGCCGTGTGGACACTGGGTCGGCGAGATCCTCGGTCCATCATGACGTTGCAGAGCAACCGTGGCCAGGGCTGAAAAAGATCTGGAGACGCAAGATGATGCTGTGGCTGCTGCTGGTGATGACAAAACCCCTGCCTCAAAGAAGAGATCTGGAACAGAGGTGGTGGTGCAAGTGCCTCCTTATGGATCCTCGCAGTATTACCCCCAAAAGCAATTCAACTACTGCTATTTGCAAGAAACATGGATTGCAAGAAAAACAGAACAATAAATGAACACAAGGGGCTCGAAAGCTGCCACTGGGACCTTTCTGCGGGAAGGTCAAGGCCGTCCGATTGGCCTTTTGGTGCAGTGGCTGAGGCTACAGGACTCGCATGACACTCGAAAGGAGCATTGCACTCCCAGTGTCCTAGTGGAGCTTTCTCGAGCTCGTGAGGATGCTCGAAGATTTTTCGAGCCATCACCGAGAGATGGCGAGTCAGATGAACCCGAGTTCATCTACTGAATGGGAGTTACTGAAGGAGACTCACAAGCCTACTGAGTGCACAGCATCTGCGGAGTAATCCAGTGGGAGCTCATCTTTGAGAGCCTTGCGCACCTCGGCCTTTGTTTCATCGATGCCGGCAAAGACGCGGATGCAATCAAACCCGTTGCGGTAGGCCATCAGCTGGATCAGCAGAGCGACACCCGCTTCGTCCATCTGGTACTTCAGCTCGGATTCCTTGTCCAAGATAGCTGCTTTCGTCACGAGAAGTTCACACAGAACCACGTGACACAACGCAGACTGGCACACCAGGCCCTTCTGCAGGGGGTTGGCTATCGGCGACACTAAAATACAACGTTTAAAAAAAGTCAGGCCCTGCCTCGGTCACAAAAAGCTGCGCATAAAAGAGATGAACATGCGAGACGAAAGCAAAAGAATGCTTCGCCATCCTATAGGCACGCATGCGCAAAACACTGATCAGCAAAAGCCGATAACTGCGACATGCCACACACAAGCTCGTAGCGCCACAATCGCTCGAGAATTTCTGCTCCAGCAAGCACACTACTCGCCGTCCGACTCCGCTTCCGTAGCAGATTCGCTGCTCGAACTGCAAGATGAGCTTCCTTCGCTACTGCTGCCCTCGGACAGCTCAGCAGCCTTGTCCGGGGCTTTGCCCCGACGCCCGCAATGCTTGCAGGCAAAATCGTATTCCGCTCCCCTCAGGTGCTGCAATGGGATCATCTCGTGCAGGCCACCAGGAACTGTGCCACAACCGCCCTTGCGCTGGAAGCGGCGGAAACGTCTCTTGCCGACCACGGAAATGTAGTATGGAGCCTCTTCATCAGCAGTCGGATGTGCAACTGCGTCAGCTTCAGGAATGGCGGGCCATGGCAGGTCGCTCGGAGCGCCGGCCACGTTGTCAGGCTGCAGCGGCGTCGCTACTTCAGTCAAGGTGAGCAAGAGCTTTTGCTCCTGGGCCTGCCTTACACCATCGGCATACCCTTGCGACTGCAGGAAGTTGTTAAGAGTAAGTCGTCAACACCCGCACGGCATAACTCAGCGTTCTCAGCCAGACCACGCACAGCTGCCTTTTGCAGTTGCAAGACGATCTGCCTAGCAGTGCGCATGTACTCGTCGGAGGATGACGCAGCATGCCAGCGCCCCACAAAGTCTCTCTGTTCACGTGGCACACCTAAACTGGCGAGCAGGGACACCAGCCAGTTACGCTCCGAGTGCTCGCTCCAGAAACGCAGGGACTCCTCCGCGTCGAACAGAAACCCTTCCGCGGCCGTCCAGTTTGATTGGCACGCGGAGCATTCGCCAAGCAGATTTGGTCAAGGCCACTGTCTGGGGATAGTCTGCCATCGTCTGCCGCACGCCTGAGCGATCACTGTTCGGCAAAGGCAGGAAATAATCACACGGAAAGGACATGCTCTCGCGATTCCAGATCTCCCAGCAAACGCTCAGCCCGTTGGGCACTGCAAGGAACGCGTGACAGCTGACGAAGATTGGAAGTTAGCGAAGTCGCTTGCTAGTGCGACAAGCAGTCGAACATGGGCCGAAGTCACACTAAGCCGTGCCCGACAAGTCGATGTCAATGTGACATAACGTGACGTTTGCATTGAACACAACAAGCAACCATGTCTAGCCCACAAAACACACTAGCTCTGCGAGCCCAGTTGCTGCCATGCACGCGCATCGATTCAAAACACTTAAACTTCAACAAAGTGCAGTACGCTCAGATCTCACTTGGATGCACACAGGTTACCTGCAGCCCTGTTGTGGCTTATAAGACGCGCGTTTTGCACTCCGCGCACAGGGCTCAGGATGCTAGCTCCTACATGGAGACGTCCAAGTGGTACCTGCAAGCGAAATGGCAACCAGGCCAAACTAAAAACCTGGCAAGCCGAGGGTCTTGCACTGACGTGTCATCGTCAAATTTTCAGGACGCTTAGGCAATATCATCCTCGACATCAAGATCTTCTCCAGAAAGTGTGAATGGTGTCAACCTTTCCGCGTGTGCCTTCTGGTGATCACAAAACCGCGTTCGCGACATGTGCCGAAGAGAGGCGATTCGAAGGGTAGGACGGGTAGGAGCTGTGTCTTTTGGACACTGATCGTGTCACCCACGTGGTAGTTTGGAGTGTCGGTGCCACCCGTAGACAAGGAGACACAGTCAAACAGAGGCAGTGTTGATCCAAGTCATCAAAGGAAAAAAGGTGTCTCAACGCGCCGAATGCCTCTGGATCTCGAGAGTGGCATCTGCTCTCCCACTGAGTAGTCAAGGTGGGCAGCTTGAATGTGCGAGCCTCGGAACCTGGTCGTCATGGTGTCAAGCTTAGGCACTCGCCTCAGTGGCCCCTCAACTCTGTACTTTCGTGTCAATGGCGTCAGTCCATGCAGTTGAACATCGGTCTCAGGTTGTGCGGGGTGGAGATCGCTCCTGCACGTGGAAATCTGGCCCAACGCCTCACCCATCCCAGTATCTTGGTGCTGTAAACCCTGCTTGACCTGGTGTCCCTGCGCGAGTTTGGTTCTCCTGACTCCGAAAGTTTCACCGTAGTCTGTGCTAGCTCAATTCCTTTGCAATCGCTGCAATGGCACAACATGATCACGCGCAACTCGCACTGCACATTTTGGCTGGGTTTTCTTCACTGCCCACGTGAACTGGCAGGGGAGAGCACGATGCACTGTAGGACACTGGCCTAGGTACCGAAGTCCCGGAAGACGGCCCAGCAAGGAAAATGCCTGTCGGTTGTGTCACCTTTCAGTTGAGCAGCACACTGTATTGAGGCGCCGGCCAAACGAGCCAAGTGCACACCTACCTGACAGCAAGGACGCTGACCGGTTCAGCAGATTGCAGAGGGGTTGACAATTGGGGCCATCTTATAACAAGCTTTACAAGTTCTTGGAAACATCTAAAGCCAGCCTCCACAAGTGTGAGTCCGTCAGCAGGTGGGCCGCCTAGAAGCTCTTCCAAAGCCTGAGGAGCGAGTCTTTCGCATGTGACACATCCTTTATGAGGATTAACTGAGATCTCGGGCACCATGACGGGTCAGAAGGAAGTCGCTGCGTGGTGCCAAGATATGTGCCCAGTGACCTGTGTCGCGGTTTCAGCTGCAATCCTTCGGTGCCACGAGCCGAGCAGTTGTCCAAGTCTGCGGCCCAAACCAAAATCCACCACAGACAGCATCCTGAAAACGAGTTTGCTTGCCAGCTCACAACATCCTTCGTCTTTCGACCAGACATTGGGCATTGAGGCTGCAGCATGTTGCTTCGCCTGGTTAGGTCGCGTGCAGTAACTCTTTTTTGAGACATGTTGTTCCAGGCTTCAAGCCAAAATAGAACTCGCCGTCGTTCTCCAATGTGCTGCGCCAGCAGGAGGAGCGAAGCTGTGATCAGGGCTCTGTAAGCAAGCCTGGCTGCCCACAACAGTTGACCATCCATTTGTCTGTGGCCTGCCAATTCACGGGGAGCACGTACCCACCTGGAAAGTGCCTTGAAGGGGCGCTGTATGTTTTTGTCCAAAGTGGCTTTCTGCATCTACTGGAACTCTTGACGATCAGCCTTCTGGCTCTTCAAAGTTGACAGACTTATTGATCTGTGGTGCGATACGGTTCTGCGACGCCTCCGTAGTCCAAAGTCGGCGGACAAGGCTGGTGATGAGCTCGGACTGCAAGCGACATAATCGGCACAGTCAACTTGAAACAATTTCCCTCTCACTTGAGTCCTCCTCCAAGACGTAGCGTCGTACAGTGCTGGCGACTTCCTGGGGCAAGCGCATGCCTTAGACCGTATCAGTGCGGACACCTTCCACCAAGCACTCACAACACTTGCACGCCCAGAAGATGAGACTGCGACTCGGTGACATTGCGGGCATTTTCACCTCGACAGAGGCCGCAAAAAGCATGTTGCCATGTTCAGTTGGCTGAGAGACTTCTTCTCCGCCCTGCCGTCTTCGAAGGCTACAAAGGCAGGGTGGCCTGGAAGTCTCCCCAGATGCTGCGCACTCTCTCCAGGGTGCTCAGCGGCTCGCACTAGCCAGGTTCAGGGCAACATGTAAAGGACAACCTGGCAGTCGAGTGCGAAGCCAAGCCCACCTCTGAGCCAAACTGCTGGCAAACGGCCTTCAGGCCTGGCACTCTGAGATTGTGCATACGACACTGGCCGTCCACAAAACAAAAACAGGCTGGTGTGGCTGGCGGCGAGGGCAAAAATTTTGAAGCCGAAGGCCTGGGTCTGGGATGCAATGATGACCTTGTCTGCCAAAGCTCCCTTGCCACGAATTACTGTGTTGTCGAGTCGTTGGAAGTGCCTCGCAGGAAAAGCACTTACACAAGAACCCCTGATTGCCGCAAGAGCCTGCATCTGGGATGTTCATTTCGGAGCCCGTGCCTGCTGGATTGTGCAGCGCAAGCTACTTGAGGCCGACGCGGCCGGATATGCACACGTGGCCTTGGTCGGTTCGGGGAGAACGGAAGTCGGCTCGGTGGGAATATCCGTACTTGGCTCTGCAAGATCTGCCCTGCTCATGGAATGATTGAACTCCCGGTTTGGTGGTTTACTCTCGTAGACATTTTGTGCTGCGCAACATCAATGAGCACGAGACCACTGCTGGGTTGCCACCCCCTGCCCACTTGTTCAGGTCGTTGCGGGCCTTGATGCTGTGGCGAAAACTTCAGCTTGAAGTTAGCATGATTTTTTCGGTTACATGAGGGCTGAATAGTGGCATCACACATAATGGTAACTGCCAGCGAAACTGTGCACAACTGCAGAAACATATCCGACTATGACAACATGTACGCACGCTGGGTTAGTTTGTGAAGTTGACTTCAATGCAGCCAAAATCGGATCGTGAACGAAGTCACACCACAGCCAAACCTGGCCTTAACGTACCCAGTCTCGTCTGCAGCCAGATTATGAGGGTCCGGCAGACCGTAGGCATTCGGAGTCTGTTTCAATCAGAAGGAGCACCTAGCTGTGATTGACAACTGTTGTGTGAGGTCCTATCAATTCACGCAGATTGGGGCTTGTGGCATGTTTGACGCCCAGGAAGAATTGCAGTGACCTCCTCTACTTCTGGTTCCAGGCTGCCGCGAGGCGGTCCGCACAGGGCCGTGGCAGGCCTTCAGCAGGTTCTAAGCTCAGCCGTATCCCTTCAGGCTTTGCCGAAGTGACTGCGAGGTTTTCCTACGTTTATATGAGGTCCCATGTCCATGAGAACACACTCCAAGGAAAAGCGAATCCAGCAAACGCAGTGCATGTGAACGCTGAAGCGCTGCTTCCCTCGTTCGAGAGCACATGTGCAGTCTTGCACATGTACTTTGGAATCTGACGGTGCCAGGAATTAAACCCCGCTCCGTTCTTCTTGAGTCAACTGGCTCGGTCATTTTGTTTCGGCCTGTCCCACCCCACTTGGTTGGCGGTCTGCTTGGGGACAGATTTCTTGGCGATGTTTCGACCCCCCGCCCCAGCGGAGAAACTGGACCACTACCTGCATAAGTAGATCTCTTTCTTTCCTCAGGCCTCAGGGCAAGCCCCGCGCGGGAGTATTAAGCAGATCTCTCTCTCTCTCTCTCTCTCCTCTCTTCTCCTTCTTCCTCAATCTTCTCAATGCGCGGGGCTGTCAAGGGCCCCCGACCACCAGGCCCGCCATACTTTCCCGGGCTGTGGCTGTGGGCAGGAGATCAAACTAGTGTAAGTATCCTCGATCATGGAGACGGCATACAGTTCAACCTCGGTCTCGGGTTGTGGTGGGTTGCCAACAAGTTTCTGTCAATTCGCACTCAACGATGCCGCGCGTGTGTTGCAGTGCAGATCGACATAGTTGGACGATTTCGGACAGACTCACCGGCCCACCGACCACAAACCCAGGCACACTAATGACTAATGACCCCCAACCTGCCTCGAAGGCCAAGGCTACAAGCCCCCCGAATGCCCGGGATTCCTTTCTCTCTCTGGCTGACTCTCACTATGTCACCGCGGTTCCTGGCAAAGCCCCAAGACCTCAGGAGTTTCATCACGGGCACTGACAAAAGTCACGTGCCTCTGCTGGCCACACGTAGGCAATGCTAGCCTCAGCAATGGAATGCAATTTTCTGCTGAATGGGAAATTCCCATTTGTTTTTGTTGCCGGTTTGCCTGAGTCCATGGCTCATATTCGAAATCAGCCTGACCCAGTGGAGCCCACAAAGCCTCCGTTTGGCAGCAGAAGCCACATCTTGTCAACTGCTTCATGAAACATTCAAGCTCACGTGCCTCATCTGTGCGAGGCTTTCTAAAAAATTGAGTGTCTGCGTGCAGCACACCACGGAGCAGCACTCACAAGACACAGCTTGCGGCCATGATGCAAAGAGTGTCCATAACCCTCTCATCCGCATGGCACATGCTGCACCCGAGCGGAGGAATGCAATGGATGAGCGTTTGTGAGGATTGGTTCGCTGCAACACATCCACGAGAACGCAAAGAGCAAATGTCGAGCTCCTGCGATACATCATGCAGGCATCAAGGAACGCAAACAAACACGAAGTCATGGTGGTGGGACCGGCTGACACTTCAGTGCTTGGTTGGAGTGCGACATAGTGTGACCCCATTCCTTCGGCCGATAAGTCTACGTGATCTTGAAGATTGAGGGTCTGCTTTGCGCTTCAAGCTTTTCCTGAAGATGATTTAAAACGCTGAGACTGCCTGTGACGTGAGTCATGTGAAGACGCCAAGCTCGAGCAACAGCTTGTGGTGAGTTCCGCTTGAAGCATCCATTCCCGTAAGAGCTTTGGGGAGTGCAATCCGGTAGCAGCTAGCCGTCGCTTAGACTGGCTGTGATGCATTGCTTGCTTCAGTGGGCAATCTGTTTTTTGCAGTTCCTACAGGGTACACGGAGTTTGGTGTGAAACTTGCAGGATTTTCCTGCAGAGAAGCTTTGCTCTCGTTATGCTTTCGCTCTCCGACGATTTACGGGTAATGCACGGGCTATTTTTTGGAACAGTCTGTGGTCCCTAACCTGAAACCTACAGGCAACTAGCACAGCTCAGTGGGAGTGAACGTTTCCACATGATACATCACTCCCTCACTGAGCTTCGAAGAGGTGCTGGCGTACCCGGCTTGACGACCTGCGGCAGCTACCAGCGTTTTCGAACATCCGTGATTTCAATGAAACGAACCAGCTCCTTAACTTGATGAGCAGCCCAGATCGCGACATCAGCAGCCGAAGCTCATTTGCTGGTGTTCGTCCCGCTGTCTAGGGCGAAAGAGCCGTCTCGAGCCGTAAGATATTTGTGAGAGTAGCTCAATAGTGACAGTTAAAGGCACCGGGCCTGACTACTGCGGAACTTGGCTTCCATCCTCAGTATCACAGTGGTGCTTTGCGGTGCAGCCGCCCTAGATACTTGTGTCACGTAATTCATCCCTCGGCCGTGGTTGCGTCATGTTGCGTCTGCGCACAAACATTCAAGAGGTGTCGGCTACGTTGCAGTTCGAGGAGGAAGCCGTGAGTTACTTCAGGCTACTGGGACGACAGCAAACCCGGGAAGATCTTCGGTAACTCAAAGTTGACTGCCAAGGGTCTTTCCAATGCGCTCGGTCAGCGCCTTCTTGTCAGCATCAGAGGGCGGATTCCTGAGTTGGGGACTTGCCCCCGCCCCCCCCCCCCCCAGTTCTTTACCTTTGCACTACCAGCAGCTCGCCGGAGACTGAACTTTCAACACTGCATGCTTTGATGCTTGTTCCTCCAAGGTTGTTGGACAGGCCGAGTAAGGGGCAGCCAGGTCGCAGCATTGAGAGACAAGACGAGTATACCCTTATGGCCAACGAAATTCGACAATTGACCAAAGCTACGACGCTTTAGTCTTCATAATGAAAGTCAGCCTTTCTGACTTGCTTTCTCCCTTGTTCGTTTCCTTGACATCTCTGGATTTCATGGCTGAGACGTGTGGATATCGCCGCCGTCAACCGAATGACGGACTCAATGAATGAAGCGACAGGCCTTCCAGACAAGCGACCTCCCTGGGAACGCTACGACCGGAACACGAAAGAAACATCACAATTGCGATGTCGTCAACAAAGCCCCGAAAGTATCGCACTAGTGTATCACCAGGGTTGTAGCCCAGGAGCCTACATCCCTCGCATGTCCAACTTGAATCTAGATGCTCAAGCTCGCGAAGCCCAAAGGTAGTATTGAGGTTGTTCGCTTCGGCTCTTCCCTATGGCCCCCTGACAGACCTGTGTCAGCGCCAAGACCATTCAACCGAGGAGCTTTCCCTCATTCTCCCACTGCTTCTGCCACGACCTTCCGTCAATGGCAAGTCCGGGCACAAGAAGCCAGAGTTTGGCAGCTTCTTTGCTCTCAGACCAGCTGACAAACTCAGCGAGCTGCAAAACATGGGAGCTCCATTGGCCCTAAGCATGAGCGAAAGACAGCTTCTATCGGGCAGCCTGGCATTCATCAGCATCTGCACTGCAAGATGCTCCGTCTGAGGCAGGATGCGCCTCGTCAACTTTTTGAGATGCAGGGCAACGAATCTTGAGATGGGGCAGATTGGGCAGAACACTTCAAGGTGATGCATTTTTCGGACTGACCTGGATATCAACAAGCTTTTCGGCGCTCACACTCGGACAATCCAGGCTCAACAAGCTTTTAGGGATTCTTATGTCTTAGTCTTAGTCGAGTGACATCGCTGCGAAGATGAGCGGCGAAACCAGAAACTCGATGAAGCCGACCTGGTGATCTACACGCCGAGGTGGATCAATGTCAAGACATCAAGCACACGCTACACACTGTATCAATCGTTTGGCATCGGTCTGGCTATCTAGATGTTCTTGTTGGCTTCTTGTCGTAAGATGGACACGGATGGCATGGTTGTGGGCAGCGGCAGCTTTCGAAACTTAAACTCAAGCCTCACATGACAACTTACCTGTCGTGTAAATTTCCCAGTCGCACCTGCGAGAATGGCCGGTTCACGGTCGCCCGATCATTCAAGGCCTGGACAGGCCTGGGGCGAAAGATGTCTCAATAGGTGTTTTCTGACCTGACAGGTTCTGGATGTGACCAGCCGGGCTGCTTCCACCTGCGGCCTCGTGCTCCACTGAACAAGCAACGCCTAGCGAAACGTCAGCCTGTGCGCCAAGGGGCACTCCGAGTCGTGCTTCAGCGTCACCTTGCAGAAAGAACCTGAGCTTGCGTAACAAAACACTCTTAAAAGAAAGAATGCATGTGCGCAAGCACACATTTATGCAAGTAGATGCATACCAGCATGTGCACATACATAAATCAGCACAGACAGACCGGCATATTATATTCCACACAGGCAACCAACACATCGACCTGCCTGCACACATGCTTTAAACTGATGCATGTTTGCCGGCTGCATACATGCACACATATACCTACCAAGGTATATTTTGACCCAGCTTTCGACTCCAGCTGCCAGCCTCACAGCAACTGCAAGCTGTCGGTGGTTGTGTTCCGTTGGTGCAAGTAAGCTTGTCTGTTAGATGAGCGACATGTCCAACCGTGGTCAGCTTGGACAAATCTCACAACTTGCTCAAGTGCTTGCTGCTTTGCGTGGGCAGCCGCGGCCTTACGGCCGATTTCCTATGCAAGCGTGCTCAATTCTACGCATGGGATTTCATGTGTTGCAAGAAACTCATTGTGGAATTTTGTTACCGATTGTCTTGAGCTTTTGTCCGCAACATCTGAGGCCGACGCAACCATGCAGAAACGCGTCGTGCACGTCTTGGGGAGTGCATTGAACCTTTCGACATCCGAGGCACTCCTCCAGCACCTGCCATGCCCAGATCCTGCTGATACCTGGGAGGCGGTGTGGACAAAGTTGGGGTCACCAACTTTCAGGAGGCGATGCCTCACATAGGAACAGCGGGTTAGCATGAAGCAGGGACTACATTCAGGAATTGTTCACGGTGGAAGCATCGTGTGATTTCTTCACGAGGATTCGGGGACCATCAGGATCCATCAGGACTTCACGAGTCGCGGACAGAGATTCCAGCTGGAGCTCTAGAGTTTGGATGAGTGTCGGAACGGCTTCATGGAGTTCGAGATGTCTGCGAAGTGCAGCAGGAGATTGATCATCCTTGGAAACGGCAACAGCATCACATTTAGAAGCAATGTTGGTGGTTTTCGGATTCTTTCTGGTGCTGTATCCTAAGCGTGCATGACAAATCTTGTGAGCATGATCCATGAGGGGCTGAAGGGTTCGTTGAAAACAGTGGAGAATCTCCACTCTAGTCCCTCGACCAGGCACTCTGGGCTCGGTATGCACCAGATGGCTTCCGCAAAACCACTGTTTTTCGTCACATACAACCTGATGGCCCTCTGGGCCACGAGTACTGTCCAGGCTGACTTCGGACATTTTGTCAACTGTCTAGCCTGACAGATTTAAAGGAGTAGGGAGAGCAGCAGCATTCTCCGACTCTCGACAACCCAAAATGCGGGCAGAAGCACGGCCGGACACTTGCCCTCCCTTCGCTCTGCTGCATCGTCAAAGTTCTGCGAAGCATGTGGCCTGAATGCTTGGCCTTGCAGAAAGAGCCCAACCCGACGGCTGACATAGCAGGACATACGAGGTCTCGGTGTGGGGATGCGGGGAGGGGGATGATGCAAAAGGTAGGTTGCTGGACATCACTCTGGCCTAGCATGTCGTCCATTCGAAGAAGAATTGTCCCGATGCCCTTTAGTTGTTCAGTGGTGGAAGCTGATCAGGCTTCAGCCGGAGAATTGCTGGGCTTCTTCGTCTCGTAGTACACATCCTCGCGCTTAGCGCGGTCCTGCGGCACGCAGAGTCACGGAACATCAGGGAGTTTGATGTGTAGCTGCCCGTCCTTGTTTCGCGCCAAATACGTTTCCCGACCGTGGATGATGCGCTCCACCACGGTGTCATGACAAAGCTCCTGTCTCTCTCTCTCTCTCGATGAAAGCGGCTCGTGGTCAAGGTAGGAGATGAAGGGTCAGCATTGCCGAAGCTAGAATTAGCAAAAGCAGTGTGACCAAGGAGAAGGGCCTTTTCCGAGATCTCATTCCTGCTACCAGACGGTCTTTGACATGAACAACCAGCTTGATCAGCTTGATGTCGCTTTGGCTGGTAGTTGCTGTGAGCCTAAGCCTGGGCTCTTCGAACACGCAGAAACAGCTTAAAGCGTTTGACTTGGCTCCGGCCACTTCGAGGGGATCTCACGGAAGATGCCCTTGTTCTGGGCCACCTGCGACATGGAGAGACCGATGGAAACAGCAGATCAATACATCGAAAGGAAGGAACCGATGGTGTATCGGCATGTCAAAAACAATTATGTATACACGTATGTGCTCATCGTGAAAACCCTCATGAACAGGTCGTCAGGTACAAAAGACTTGTATATACGGTAGAACTCCTACATCATATGTCCTAATGCGAGGTTCCGGCATGGGCACGCGCCCGGCTCGAGCAGACCTCCGGGATCCCTGGAGATCCTGACTGCATACAGCTACTGTAGTAAAGCCGGTGTGATGTAGGGCTGCAGCTTCAACTTCAACAAGGGGTGTGTGCTGCGGCATCAGGCACCCAAGGTGGAGCCTCGAAGCGCTCGCTCTGAGAAGAGCCAGTGATTCGCATGTGACCCGAGCCACGAGCCACAACGTGAATGTCCCAGGTCTTGATGAGGTCCTCCGTAATGTGCCTGTCGCGAGGTTGCAATCGGCAAGTTCATGTCTTCAGGGTCTGTGGGCGCAACCACAACCCTGCAATATCAGCACTCTGGCCACTTTTGCACCGCACAAAGAAAGCGAATAGTAGCAGCACAGCTGAAACAGCATGCGTCATCGGAACCATCTGTGTGGTGAGCAGCAGCACCAGAAGTGGCTTTCGGGCCCCTCGTTTTCAGACCCGCCTGGGCGCTCCAATGATGACTTCGTCGACCCATTTGCAGGCACAAACGTTCCTGGGGTAGTTCCATAGAGGACGCTCGAAAGCAAGTGGCCAAGGCTTTCTGATCTCAACCAGCCTCGAGTTTACAGTGCGCTTTGAAGTATCTCCACACAGGCCCTTGTTTTTGAGTCTGGGTGGACCAAGCAGAGACTCGATCACGACCTTGCGTCTTGCGCCTGTCCCCTTGATACCTGCTGGTGGCTTTTAGTGTAAACGGCCTCAGCCTTCCAGGCACAGAGTAACCCAAGGTCACAGAAGACTTCCAGAACCGAGATTCAGAACGCGCTCGTTCAAGTTCATCACCTGGCGAGGAGACGTTTTCATAGAATGAGAACTCTTTGGTTCCAACTTGTTCTAAGACTCCCGTAACTTGGGATAAGGACTGAGAATCGCTTGTGTTCACTCCTGAATTATTGAAATCTCAGCCGGGAGGCAGGAAGGTTTTGTCCCCGAGCTCGGCTTATGCTTGCATCGTCATAGATGCCGACCAAAAGGAAAGTGCCGAGAGCACGGGCCTCAGCTGAACGAAGTCTCACACACGTCTTGAAAAAGGGTCCGTCGTTATGTCTACACACAAGATCAATCTGCAAGTGGCTGTCAAGCACGCTGGGACTGCATGGCGAACGTCGTCGTACAAGATTGAGATCATGATATCTACTCGAAAGGTGCTCCGACCTCCTTCAGGAACTCGGCGTGGCCGACGTGAAACCTCACTTCTCTAGATCCGTGTGCGCGGATGCAGGACAACCTTGATGCTTGCAAATACAGCGATGGAGCTGTTCTGCAGCATATTTACAATGATTATGTAACACACCTGAGCATCAGACACCCCTTGGAAACAAGCATGCTCCAGCCATGCGGCATGTCGAAAGAGCCACACGCATAGATGACTCTGTCCTGCAGGCACTGCAGATCACAAGATGACAAAGTCCGCATCGATATATAAGTCTGCTGGAGCTGAAACTCGAAACGCACTTGACGTTGCAGGGCACGGAGTCCTCCGAAGTTGGCTGTCTCGCTGTGGAAAACCTGGATAGGATCTGCTGAACTCTTGGGGCTCGGAGATGTGTTCGCTGCTGCTTGCCAAATTCCTGAGCCTCGTGCTCGCTCACCCTAACATGCCCCAAAATCTGACCATCGGGCTTTGGAAGGACGAAACTCTGAAGTTTTGGCACTTCGCCGCTTTTCACAACTGTGTCGGGCAGCTCTCGGATGCGCCGGGTGCTGGCCAAAAGCTGCACTGGAGCCTTGGTCCGTTGCCTCGGGTTCGGCGCTATGCGGCACCCAGCTCTGAGATCAGGCATGGAAGGAACGTGCGGCAATTCACAAATATCCGAAATCTCACTATGAGACGGTGCCAGCCAAAGCACTGAGAGCCACCAGGTTGTGCTGGAGACGAGCCTATTCGATGCGTGTGTTTGCTCACCGAAGCTTGCCTAAATTGATGTGGCTGCAGTGCTTTCGCACCACTACATCCGGCACGTCAAATTTTGCTGTGAGCCCGAATCGTTGCTTGCCGCTGGTCACTACTCTTGACTGTCCTTCGGAATCTCAGGGTCCCTTCATCACGATCTGTGACTCACCAGGGCTTTACCGTCATCGAAGCACCTCCCTCCACAAAGCTTCCGCTCGGATGCGGTGCAGCTGCAGCCGTGATCTTTGTCTTCAGGGACCGAAGGTCCTGGCATCCAGGTTTGCTTGGGAAAGGAAAGCGCCTGCTGCTGTAGGTCGAGTACCGTCTCTGCTGTTGTTCCAACTTCAAGTGTGAGCTTCGTGACCATTTCTTGTCCGCATTGACAAAGAAGATATCGTGCTATCCAGCTATCTCTCAACGTACCATCATGACATCTTCCTCGGTTTGCTGCCAAAGACCTAACAATTTTCACATGTCTTGTCCGACGTTCTGCACGCTCCAAGAGTAAGCCCCAGCCCCAGCCCAGCCAGCCCCAGCCCCCACCCCCAGCTGCGTGTCCTTCACTGAAGCAGCGGGCTTAAGCATGTGTGCTTCGCGCGACAGCCACCTTGTTTGCTACCCGTTCTTCCACAGGGCGGTCTCGTCCTTTTGCACTCGGCATTATGCGTGCTGTGCAGCACAGGTGATGCTGCCCTCGTCGGTTAGCACGCCGTTGTGGCAGTGCGAGGGTGTCTGCTTAGCGTTTGCCTCCGTCACTGGTGATGTGTGGCCAATAGTCTTCGCTGGGATATGCAAGCGTGCAACGCCTGTGTAAAAGATCGCGTGTGACTCTTTCGGTGGCCCACTGCCGCGTGCATAATGTGCCCTAGACGAGGATGTGGAGATGGTTGCCAGGTGCCAGTGGCCCTGATTCCGTACCATACGCAGTGTAGCCCGAGAGCTAGCAGCTCACACATCCTCAGCTAGTACGGAGCTCCTCCTCGTTGATTTTGTAGCTTTCCCCGAGCTGGTCCACAGCAAGCAGCGCTTCCCGCACGGAATCGGAGAAATCTACCTGATGTGGCTGAAAAGGGTTGCTTCCAGCTCATGCCTTGATCATTATGTCGTAAGCCCTGAGTGGTGCCGGAACGGTCCGTTCGTGTGAGAATGGACCTTTCAGAGAGACGGAGAAAGGGAGACAGGATGATGCCAGGCACCGACTGTGAGAAGCCGGCGGAGCTGTATGGATGTGAGTGTGCAGGCCGCACGAAACGCGACAATGCACACCCAAGGGCAAAAGCAAATAGCCACTATCGTGAGCGTGATGCGAACTTTCCAAAGGAGCCTGGCTCACAAAGCTCCTAATCAGAACAAGCTCAGTTCCCGCTCTCTCCACCACACTCACGCAAGCGTGTGCATCAACAGGTAGACTAAGTAGACGTCACGATCTAATTGCTTCCGTGCAACGTGCGCCGCAGGCATGGTACACCTCAACACTTGGACCGACGTAGCATGAAGTATTCCAAGCCAGTCTAGGATGTGTTGCATCGTGCTGCTGCAAGTACATTCTGAGCTTTCTCTGGGCATCGCGTGACTTGCAAGTTTCATCCAGCTTGAAGGTGTGTTGTGCTTTTCCACCAACTCAATGGCGGCAAAGATGCTGCTCAATTGCTGCATCTGGGCTGATGCGGTAGCCTGAGCGATAACGACAAGGCACCCGCAAAGCCGACCCAAACATAAGCCAAACCAAAACTTCCAACTTCGATTGGTTGCACCTGCCCAAGCACCAACCATAGCAGCCGCGAAGCCAGCAACACTCAACATCCAACTCTCGCCAGAACACACTTGCATCCTATGACGTAGTTCAGAAAACTATGAACGAATTGAGGCTTGTACGGTGCTCAGTCGACGAGCAGCACAAGCTACTTATCATCGACTTTCAATCTTCAGAAATCTCCACGCAACGACCGTGCTGCAGAAGCTGAACCCTGCCAGCAATCTCGAAAATGCTTCAGTCTCTTTCCTGTCGCCACTGGCGGCTTGGTTTGCATCACGTGAACGCCTCAGGTCCTACACAACATGCGCTGGTAGCAGCGCAGCGAGATCGTGTACCGGCAGATCATGCCTTGCATACCTGAACGTCGTCGAGCCCATTGCGGTCAGAGCTGCCCATGTTCGGTGACTGCTGGCCACCGAAGTCAGCTGGCTGGTTCCGCGACAGAGTCAGCAAGCGGCCGATAAGGTCCTTGCATGACTCAATCTTGACCTATGCGTGCTCTGGGACTGCCTGAGGATGCACGATTGTCTGCTGCTTGTAATTGCTGTTGGGTCTGCTCGTGGGATGACAGTCGTTATCAGCGCCGAGGCTGAATGTCAACCTGTTCAGGCTATGCGCAGTGAGACCTTGCACCTCTACTGCCTGCACGCACCTGAGTACTGGAGTGCTTCAAAGGTTCGGTGGTTGACACACCCTCCGTCCGCTTGATGATGCGAAGACGTCCTGACTTCGACCGATTTCGACCGCCCATTCAGCACATTCCTCTACCCCGAGCGACGCAAAACACAACTATGACTCCCCGGCTGGTATACTCGGGTGCTCATGATGTGACATCTGTCACTGCAAACCATCGTCCTGCAATGCGCATTTCATCGTATGCGCAAACACCCTGGGCGTTGACTGGCATGTCGTCTCCTGGGTGTTGGAATTTTCTGAGAAGGAACATCCAAGCTTGATTCAGGAGGGCGATAGTCTTCGTGATTTCAGCTGAAGGCACCGTGAATACAGAAGTCGGCGGAGGCACGTTCCAGGGTGGCGATTTCCGGAGAGTAGGGGACCTGAATCGCTGTGCCTACGCGTTGGTAATGTGTTAGGAATCAGAAAGTAGGTCGCTGAGCAGACCTGAAAGCCTGCAGCCGGCAAGACTTGAATAAGGAGAAAAAGCAAGAGAGAGAGAGAGAGAGAGAGAGAGAGAGAGAGACAGAGGCAGGGAGGCGAGAGACAGAGACAGACCAGACAAGACAGACAAGGCCAGGCAAGGCAAGGCAAGGCAAGGCAGACAGACAGACAGACAGACTTATGCACACAACATCGAAGAAACCAAGAAAGAAGTAAAGGAAAGGAAGCAAGCAAGCATGTGGGGACCTCTGCCACCAATGACAATGCAAGTTTAACATCCACATAGACAAGCATCGCGAACCCTGCGGTACAAGACAGCATCGACGCCGACGATTCCACGAGCCCTGCAAAGCAAAACGGCCTCATAGAGGATCTCGTCGATCCATTTGATGTGATCCAGGAGGCCATAGCGCTCCGTTTGCTTCATGACCTCAGCGGAGCCGGTCTGCTGATGGAGTTTTGGCTTGACATTGACCTGAAATTGCTTTGATATGACAATCACTGCTGCTTAGGCAGCTTTGGCTATAGTCTTTCCATGTTCAACCCCATGTAAATTCTAAGCAACGGTGGTATCGCAAGAAGCACCTTTCCATCCTGCATCTTTCAAAGCCACAGCACTTTTTCCGAATGCCTTCGCCTCAAAAACTTTGAACATGCACATGCCATCTCAGGTCTAGACCGGGACTGACTTGTTGTCTGCAATCTCCTGATCGGAGTGGATGCCCACCTAGTTGCTGTCCAGAATCTGCGGGTTGAGGGGCTCTGCGGGTTTTGCTTTTATTGGAATCAGTTTTAGCTTTGAGAGTGAGCAAACAGGCTTGAGGGGGAGAAGGGGAAAGAGAAAGCCGGGTGTCTCGTATGGCATTTCACGCCGCTGTCTGGCGTCCCCCTCCTTCTCCATTCCACCCCCCCTCCTCAGTTTCCGTCTTCCTCATGACAGCCCGCTGCTTCTCTCTGCTTCCCATTTCCTTCGGGCACTGTCCGAAGAAATTGCTCGCTTGAACCCTTACCGCAAAGCCAAGGCACCACAAGAACGTCACATATGCTTTTGGCTTGCCGTATGGCGTTGTAGTGCCCCGAGTGCATGATGTCGAAACATCCTCGGACGAGGGGAAGCAAAGTCTTGCACTGTCTTTCCGCCCTGGATGCGGAACCTCATAGATCCCTATCTCGTCTCTGTCGACGTTTGGTAGGACACCAAATTTGTGCTCAGCATCCGTCGATGTAGCCGCGCACTGGCTTTGTGTCCGCCATGGTCAAAGCGACAAGAGCTCGTCTTCTGTGCAAAGTTGAAGCTTACAGGGTTTGTTCATGTTTGCAGGTGCCCCCATGGAGCTGCTGGCTGACTCGTGCTAGCAACATGTTCGTGTCGTCTCGCGAGCCAACGGGGCGCGGCGCGGCGCGGGACCTTATGAAACTGGCAACATGGACGCAAGGCTCATAGACAGTGCCCTCAGCGACAGACTGGCTGTTGCTGCCAAAAGACCGATGCTTCGACTTGTAGCAAAAAGCCCTAGGTCCTCGGCATCCCTCACTTGCATCCTGCACATATCACCCGACCTGCCTGGTTGTTGCTTTCGCCCAATCAATTGCAAATTCCACCAGTGTTGACATGTCGAACTAACAACTCACCTGTGCCGCTGATTGAAGATCGTCATAAATACAGTTCCACGTGGTTCCCCCATGCTGAGGTTACTGCCATGAAGAGGCATGTCTCAATGTCAATCTCAACAGCCCTATCCTCAAACCCCCCGTGCGTCTGGTGCCAGCTTAGCTGCAGCTTGCGCGACTCGACAAGTCTGAGCAGGTCGACAGCCTGCTGACATTACAGCTCGAGGGTGAATTCTGCCTCTGGCCTGGCTGGGGAGAGGGGAGAACCTACAAGGTAGGGTACATACGTGATCGGAACAGCTGTATTGCTCGAGCTGTGCTAAGTTGAAGTAGGTAGGATTTCCACTGACTGTTTTTTGAGCTTGATGGAAGTGGAATCCTGCGGTCAGCGTTGTCAATCTCTCAAGCCTTCCAAGAAACCATGAACTCCGGCCTCCTGCGCCAGGAAGTCGCCACCCTGCATCGGAGTTTCACTGAATTTGGTCGGGCTCTGAGCCCACGAGGGCGCAACTAAACCCAAGCAAGCCTCCTGCAGAAAGAGGAGCCGTGAAGCATCCCAAATCTCCGAGTTCACCTGCAATGCTGACCATGCAGATTCCAGACCAACGAGAGTGCCCTGCAGATTCGCCTGTACTTGAAAGCGACCAACAGATAGATTACTGCATCGATACATCTGCAGTTATGAAAGCTTGGCTCTCGCACGGCCCGAGGATCAACCCAGAAGCGGATGACAGTCGCAGCTTCCACTTCCGATCTCTGGCTATGCTGCTGATGGTGAGCACCTTCTGGAGTCTAGGTGCAGCTTAGCCGTCATCATACTGATGCTTTCCGGGCTTGCCTCTGACGCATTCACTCGTGCTGTCCGGGAGGCATGCAATTTCTACACTTGCATACTCAATGCTCTGGCCTCGTAGAGCATCTGCACGTCTTTCACCTGGGATGAAAGCCCCCAAGTGAAGAGGTGCTGGCAACTTGGGTTCAGTCAAGGGCTGTCGCCAAGTTAGAGGCTCTGAGAAACAAGTGTGTGCAGTGGCCGCATGCTTCTCGTTAGAGCAGCGTCTTGCACATGCCTTTGAAGCGTTTATCCACGCTGTGGCTGACGGAGTCACTCAGCACCTACGGTTGCCAATTGACATGTAAAGGGTAAAGTGCGCTGTAATCGCATAAGCTGTCTGAAGGTCGTGAAAACGGCTACTTGCTACACAAACTGAAACTTCAAGGAGACCACGGCCTGAAATATCAGTCAGTTTTAACAGTTCCGTGGCTTTCAGGATTTGTTGCCTTCAACCGTCTCCCAAGCACTTCTAGACTCTAGACCAACTTGGTACTTCAAAATAAAAAAGGCAGCCCTCCGCGTTCAAAGGACGACTTCTCCAGGAGACCATAGTGAAGTGCTGCGCATTGTCGGTGTGCAAGATGGACTCTATGCACACTTTGCGCACATCGAAGTACCTTGTCGCAATTCAAGTGGGCAGCTGCCAGAGTCCATTTCAACCCGCACCACTTCCTTGTGTCCGTAGCATTTACAGTCCAAACCATCAAGCATTCCCCAGTCGAGGGTGGCCGTGCAAGACATGCAGAGGCTACAGTGCAGAAAGACGTTGCCGCACTCCTTGTTTGGCGTCTCTGCTCACCACTTCATGTGTATTATGGCACGACGCCTAGACTCCCGCTCATGTAACGCGCTGGTCAGGAGCCAACAGGTCTAATGCTGCCGAAATGCTGGGTCTTCGACAGCGTGGAGAAAATATTGCCTGAGTTGCAAAGGACATTCAAACGAACGAATTCCTGTGACACTCAAACGAAGCACATCTTCTCAGCATGAAGGGATGGCACGGAGGCAAACTAACGATGCGAACGCCCACAACACAAATAGCGGCACACTTCTTTGTGCGTCCGATGTTATTGTTGCCGATTTGAGCTGCTGGCAAGCGTCATCTGGCCTGACTCACAAGCTCGAACATCTTGGAGCAGTGCATGTTCTCCAGAGGCGATTTATCCTGATCGATTGGCTTCGGCGGTACCGGGTAAATTCAACAAGCAAGGAGTCATGCAAGCAAGCAGGGACGGAATGAAGCGAGCCAGCGAGCAAAAGGGATAGTGACAAAAGGGTGCAGGCAAAATACAAGCTCCAGACCTTCTGAGCACCATGCCCAGTCACCTGCACATGAAGCCCCAGCAAAACAGGATGCGGCTAGGCCACCCCGGGCACAGACAGGTAGGAATAGAAGAGAACCCGTACTCTGCACTCGTAGGGCTTATCTTTACTAGTTCCTTTTATATTACAGTGCCTTTACAATAACAACATATATATATATATACATATATTGTGACTAACATAAGTGACACGGTACTGGTACTGCTGCAGTAGTGGCCGTCGTCGTCATAGCAGAAGCAGCAGCAACGACGGAAGCAACAGTAAGCTTCGTCGTCATGGTGGTCGTGGTCGCAAGGGAGAGAGATCGAGAGAACCAGCGAGGGAGCTGGTAACCTGATACAGTGCGTCGCAGCAGTGGCCGGCTGCTATAGCCAACGTTGCATCCGAGAGTCGTTGTAGCGCAGTGCCAACTCGTGGGACGTTTCGATGAGGAACACATTGTTCAGTCCTTCCCAGTCCATGTTGATCAAAACAGCATGGGGCTCTCTAGGCACGGTATGTGGGCTTTGTCCGGGCTGTGACGCTGCGAGTCCACATCCTGCTCGTGCATACAACAGCAGCAGCCTGCCTCAAGACGAATGACAATCATGCCACAGTAGTCATCATCATGCCTGGGTCCTCCGCCGCTTCCTCCTCCTCCTCCTCCTCCTCCTCCTCCTCTCACATCGTCGTCGTCACCATCTTGACCACTATCGTCGTCGTCGTTATCATCATCATGGCAATTCCACGCCCTTGCATATTTAGCTAATATCCACATAACCATAGAGCCCTCATACACCAACTCCTGGGTGACCAAGATCGTGGCACACGGCACTGGCCAGAAGAGCATACCTGAGATGGGTGTACTTCCGGAACGAGGCAGTTCAAGATAGATAACGTTCTGCCACGTCTACCTCGCCTACCGCTCGCTCATCCCGCCCTGCCAAACCAGCAGCGGCACCTCTCTTCCCGTGTCAGAAAAACCTGCCAAGCATCAGGGGCTTCAGCAACGCGCGACGAGTTCGGATCCACAGCTGGTACTAACTGATGTATGGGGGCACGGCCATGCTGCTCTCGCAATCTCCGCGTTCAGGGATTCTTCTAAGTTAAGACATGGTTTAATCTCACCGGATGCGCATGGTCACGGCAGTGGAACCCAACAACATCTAAATCTTTTGATGTAATAAGGCGCATGGGTGTCCTCAATCAATCTCAAAGCGGATGGTAGAGGTCGCTCTGCTGCTGCTGCTGCTTGCAACGTTTGCGGGGTGTCGCTGCATGCTGTCTTACAGGGGCATGTTGTCCGAGGTAAGAAACTCTCTGTATTCCCTTGCTGCTCGCCGGCCTCGGCAATGCACATTTGCAGTAGCCGATATACGGCGTGGGCGCAGTCGACTGCCTTGCTTGGCCGGGTGGGTCTGGTATTCCGCGGACTGCCGTAGCAGTCCGACTGAGATGACGCTTTACGCTTTGACGCTTTACGCTTGAAGCCGAAGCTATCCTGCCGAAGCTCAGGCTTGGCTATCGCAGCTGGGGCGGACACGCGGCAGAAACATTGATTGCACTGCAAGTCCTCATCCCCAAGACTTCAAGCAAGCTCTGATACAAACCGAGATGCATGGAACCAGTTGTGGTACGGAGCAGACTTCACATAGCCTGGCGCTGTTATGGTTCAGGCAGTCGATTTGAGCTGTATTTGCACCATAGGACACAAGATTGGGACCCCCCTTAAGGCTACGAGAAACTCTGCACAAGGATTTAACTACAACCTACTCTGTACCAAGACGTTGCCAATGCTGTTACTCCACGATTTTGGCTACAGCGTGCTCAGTTTTCAGAGGATTTTTTCTTTTGCTTTGTGCAACTATGTAGTTCTCAACAGAAAATGCCAAGAAGACGTTGGAACACTGATGAGCACTGATTTGGAGAGCCTCCAAAACCACTGCGAATACAGAACATGTAAAAAGGAATTGCCGGGGCCGTGACCGGACTCGGCCTCACTGAGAAAATTGCCCATAATGACCTGGAGCTGTTGACACACTCTTGGTTTGGGAGTGGCTACGCGTTCGAACGACAAGGGCAAGTTTCCCCGGCCGGTGTCATGCAGGTTTTGGACCAAAACTCGTTCAGACTATCGGTGTCAGTCGCCTCAAACGTGTTGAAGACCACTCCGCTTGCACAATATTCCCCAGAAGCTACTTCCCGACACATGCTAGCGGCCCGGCCATGCACTGTGCATGCAGGGCGCAGAGTCAAACTCCACACCATGGTTGTGCGAGCTGCAGAAGTACATCGCCTCGAGATGCAAGGTCATCGTTAAAGGGGAAGCCACATGGTGCCGGAGAAACTCGAGATTCAGCTTACTTTCAGCTGCGCGGCTGCCACATGGTTCCTTAATGCCAGAACAGCGTCTGACGAGTGAGCTTGGAGCGTGAACACAGAATGCGCATGTCCGGCTTCTCTATCCCGCAAACAAGCAGCCGAGCTTTATCCAACCTCAGAGCGA